TATCTTACAAGAAGAGATCATTTACTTGTGACAATTGGGGTAAAAGCAATAAAAAATTGCATTATAGATAAATTTTTAAATATTATGGGGGGCAAGCATGTCACGGCACACCTGTGGCTGGCAGAGGACAACTCTGTGGGGCTGGTGCTCTCCTTGCACCTTTGTGTGGGTTCTGGGGCCTGAACTCTGGTCAGCAGGCATGCTTCCTTGGCAAGCTTTTTCACTCTGAGTCGTTTCGCTGGCCTGCACACTCTCTTCTCTCTTGTGATATGAATGTTTTTCTTGTCAGTTTTAGTGTCATTTTGTCAACCATTCATGGGACAGATGTGATCTGTCCTGGAAACCCCATTTCTTTCTCCCCCTAAAACTCTGTGGGAGCTGATGCTTCTCAGGTTTCTTGTCTGAGGATGCCAGTTGACCCTTCAGACCCCAGGAGCTGTTCTGATTCAGTGCTGACAGAAACAGAAGCAGATCACCAAAGGGTTCAAGACCAGGCTGGGGAAACACAGAGACAGCTGACCTGAGCAAGGGGACGATCACCACCCCAGCCTGACAGCTGGGGAACCAGCAGAGGACCAAACCAGGCCCCCTGAATGTGGGTGTCAGTTGGGGACTTGGGAAGTCTATGGGGCCTCTGGCAGTGGAATCAGTATTTATTCCTAGTGCAAAAATGGGCTTTGGAGCCCATTTCTCATGGAGGGATACTAGCTCAACCTAGATACACAGGGGAGGGCCTAGGCCCTGCCCCAAATGATGTGATAGACTTTGATATCTCTCATGGGAGGCCTCACCCTCCCTGAGGAGTGGATTGGGGGTGGGAAGGGGCCTTGGTGGGGGAAATGAGAGGTCAGAAGGGAGAGGGAACTGGAATTAGTATGTAAAATAAGATTGTTTTTAATTTAAATAAAATTTTATAAAAAAGATCACCCCATTTCTGTAAGTGCATTTTGAAAGAGATTGTTGTTTTTGAAACTGTGTGCCTATGTTTATCACCTTTTAATTTTGTAAAGACAGGATGTACCTGGCCAGGCTAGTGAAATGGTAAGTGTTGGTTTTGGTTTAAAAATGTGTTGATATAAAAGTTGGGGGAAAATATATTTGATGTATTTATCTTTGCTGGAGGTTAACCTTGGAGGATGGGAAAAACTTGTTGGTTAATGTGGGAAGAAAATATGTTTGATTTTGATGTATAAATGAACATGGCTGGAGCTATTTGTGGCTGGCCACTTGTATGAAACTCATCTGGTGACAGATTAATTTCTTTACGACAACGGCCCTTCTCCGTCTCAGGGTTGGGCTGTGGCAGGACCACATCACACACCCATCCCTTTTGCTGCCTGGGGTCCCAGGCAGTTGACTGTGGTCAACTCTCAGAGGCCACACATTAACCAAGCCCCACTCAAAGACATACCCAAAGAAAGAGTACATCTTCTCAAGTGGCCTAGGCCGTGTGTCCCCCCTCCCCCACTGCCACCATCTGGTATATCTAGGCCAGCATCCTGATAGTGCAAGGCCTCTGCATTCCTTCAGAAACCTTTGAAAGCAGACGGACATCTTTCTCTATCTAGCTGGACTGAAACTACTTCAGGCTCCATGCTGTACCGCCTGCTATTGTGCTGGTAAGTCCCTTGTCTGAAGGACCATCCCACTTAATGCCTGTTGTGGTTTGCTTCCTGTGATAAAACACCAGCCAGACCTAGCTTGTGGGAGGAAAGTGAGCTTTTTGTTTATTTGTTTTTTCTTACAGGTTGTAGTCTATCATTAATGGACGCCAAGGCTGGAAATCAAGGCAGGAGCTTGGAACAGAAATCATTTAGGAATATTGCTTACTGGCTTTCTTCCTACCTTGTATGTAGCTGCCTTTCTTGTACAGCCTATCTGCCTAGGAATGGCACTGCCCACAGTGGGCTGGGGCCTCCTCTGTCAATAAATAGTTGAGGAAATGCCAAACCGCTGGAGGCCATTCCTCAGTAGGGGTTCCCTCTTCTCAAGTATACCAAGTTGACAACCAAGATTAGCCATGGCGGTGCCTTTCTCTTGAGCCTCCTGTACACTCCCTCTCTATAAAACCCAACCCCTCTGGCTGGTTCCATCCCTTCTCCCGGATAGTCACCTCTTCTGTGTTGTTAATACTTGCATTCTATTATCCCCACTTAAGATCTCCTTCCTCTCATGATCTCTTTTCTGGGTCTATCACACGTGTGCACACACATCCCTACACACATACAAACTCTCTTAGGGCCACCGTAATGACCTCATTTTAATTTGATCACCTCTATAAAGAGTTAGTTTTTGTTTTGTTTTTCATTTTTTGTTTTTGGTGGTGGTGGTGGTGGTGGGTTTTGTTTTTGTTTGTTTGTTTGTTTGTTTGTTTGTTTGAGACAGGGTTTTTCTGTGTAGCTTTGGAGCCTGTCCTGCAACTAGCTCTTGTAGACCAAGCTGGTCTCAAACTCAGAGATCCGTTTGCCTCTGCCTCCTGAGTGCTGGGATTGAAGACATGCACCACCACCACCTGGCTAAGAGTCACATTTTTAAGTAAGATCACATTCTAAAGCATGGGGGGGGGGATCACAAATCAATTTAGGGAGGGTCACAGTGCTACTGTAGCCTAAGAATGACTTCAGCATATCTTCATGAGAAAAACAGTTAAACCCACAACCCTGAACTAAAATGGTTTTGTTAAAATGTAATTTCATTAGTTTGTGAGGGTTAAGACTATAGACATCAAAAGATAACGTGTACCACGTTTGTAACACAGTATTGATTATTTCCCAACTGTTATTCAAATGGTTAAAATACTAGTTTTAATTTTTTGTGAATCATTGATCATAAAATCAGAAACAGCATTATGACTTTGTTAATAGTACCTAAGGATTTACAGCATTTCTATTTTTATTTCCTATAGTTACTGTCAGATTGATTGTGCGTTGGTTTTAAAATGGAAATGAAGCATCCTTTAGGATTGTTTTGTAGGAAGCAAATGTGTTGTGACTAACACAATAAACAAGCCATGCTTACTAGTGAAGAATGAGATCTCTGGAGTTGGGATGTAGCTCAGTTGTAGAGCCCTAGCCTAGCACTCACAGGGCCCTGATTCCTTCCCAGCACCAAAATATATGATATGTATGTGTACACAAATCATATATATATATATATATATATATATATATATATCATACTATGTATGTTCTCCACATACTGCTTTTACAATTTAATAATATGTCTATGGAATTTCCTTTTATCTGTAGTGAATAATTTTGTTCCATTCTTTTCACTGTAGCACAGTATTCCACTCTGTGGATATACCAGAATATACTTGCCCATTTGGTGGTCTTGTTTTGTTAACATAATGTATGTTTGAATCTTCTAGCTCATTCACAAATATATTTGTACATCTAGGTGTAGAATTTTCAAGTCAAAAAATAATCTGCCCTTCCAACAGGGATGAGCCAATTGTCCTACCACAAACAAGGTGCCAGATTCCCCCATCACCATTAGAACATAATGAAGAATTCCCTGGATTTTTTACAACTGTTGTGTTAACTGGAGACCTGGTTGTTGGCTCACACTTGCAATCCTAGCGCTTGGGAAAGCTGAGACAAGCGGCAGGTTGGAAGATGGAGACCGTATGTAGTGAAAGCAAACAAGCTTGGCTGGTGTATTAAATATGTAGATGGTGGTAGAGGTGGATACGGACAGAGGACGGGAGTGGCCACCGACAGGCAAGATTTTCGGAGGGTTTTAGTATGTCTCTAGCCTACCTTGGAAACATGCTTCCACATGTCTGACCTCAATCTGATTCACACGCAAAGCCTGTTCATTATCTCCTGAGGTTCCTTTCATTGGTGATGAAGTTGGAGTCAGACGAAGCATTTGGCCCGAGGCTGTCAATAGCAGGTTGCCAGGATTGCAGATGCTGCTTCCAGCTAGTGTGATGCCTGCCCTGTGTGGCCTTCCCTGGCATCTGCTTTTGATCCCTTCTGGGAACACCAGCACATTCTAAGCAGCAAATGGGGACACACTGTGTGAGACTGACATAAATTAATGTGTTAGTCTTCCTTGAATTTATAGGCATTTAGTTGATGAACCGAGTCAGTTTAGTAGGTGGCCTGGTAAACTTTTAAGAAACAACAACAGAAAGTTCAGCTGGCTTGTGCTTCTCCACAGGGCCATGACCTTTGAGTGCAGTTGGCAGACAAGACATAATGTGCAATGGGCCAAAATATAAAATTCCACATGAGTGATTAATACATCCATGTATCATAATGGGTGCTGGCACACATGGAAAGGAAATTTTATTGAAAGAGAAGAAAAGCCAATCTTACAAAATGATCTCTGGGAATTTAAGCCAACTTCATGAAATAAAATTGTTTTAATCCCCATAATTTTCATGCATCCCTTTGGCAGTAAATTCAGAGCATAACACTATCGACCATGCCTGCCTGAGGGTGACTACAAACTCCCAAATTGGTTCAATGGTGAAGTTAGATTGCCAACCGTGGGCTATCACTTTGTCACACCCCTAGTTGTTCTCATGAGGTCTATTTTACTTCTTGATAATTTGCAGGTTTGGGAGTAAGACTAAGTACAGACAGCCCTCTGCCTCTGCAGAGTCTGTGTTTGGGGATTTGACCAACTGCAGATCCCAAGTAGTTTTAAAAATATTGACTTTATTTCGTATGTGTGCCTACTTGCCTGCACGAGCACCACGAGTGTGCGGAGGACAGTGCAGTGACCTTAAGGGAACAGGTCTTGGAAACCACTTAAAACAACTTTGGCTGGGTACTGGTGGCACACAGCCTTAAATTCCAACACCAAGGAGGCAGAGGCAGGCGGATCTCTGAGTTCAAGGCCAGCCTGGTCAACAGAGCAAGTTCTAGGACAGCCAGGGCTACACAGAGAAACCCTGTCTTGAAAAAAAAAACAAAACAAGCCAACAGACAAACAAATGACTTTGCTGGTTTTCTCACTTTCCAAATTTCTTCAAATACTCAGTGTTACCCTCTGACAAGGTATCTATTTTCTTCCTTCTGTTTCCTGGCTTTCACAACGAGGTACACTCTACACAACTTTCTCCTTTTTGACTGATTTTTCTTTGTTCTGTTAATTGGTTCAGGGTGTCTGCATTTTTTTTTTGTTTTTTTGTTTTGTTTTGCTTTGTTTTTTGATGGGTGTTTGTTTGATGGGGTCTCACTTTATAGTCAGGCTGGCCTGGAACCGATGGAGATTCCCCTTGCCTCTGCTTCTGGAGAGCTGGGACTGCCACCATGCCTGACCTGTTTTAAATTTTTTACTATTCAGAAAAACACGCATCATCGCTTGCATGCGTTGTGTGTGTGCCACAGGAGTACCTGGTGCCTGAGAAAGTCAGGTGTTAGGTCTTTTTAGAGTCTTAACAAAGCAGAGTGGTAGCTTCCACTAACCCAAAAAAAAAAGCTCAGATAGCACATTGGGCCAGTAGAAGAGTTTCCCCACCCCACTTCACTGAACCTGCCCCTGTGATGTACCCGTCAACATATTTCACACTTGCCTTAACTTGTGATAGTCTTTGTTCTGTAAAACTGTAGGAACTTCGTGAAACTGCTTCCGCATTGGAACAAAGAATTTGACTACCTCAAACACCCCAGAGTTTCACTTCACAGTCCCATGCCCAGTCCTAAACCTTTTCCTAAGTAGCAAACCTATCCGCCTCCTTCCTAATGAGCCAACCTGTCACCACCAGCAACCACCTACAAGATAGTGAACGTTCCCAATCTTAGTCTCAGGAGCCTGAAACAAATTGCTAACTGGCATGCCTACTAACATGTTAACATGGCCGCTGGCCAGCTCTCCCAGCGTCACTCAGTACCTGTGGCCCTCCCAGAGGCTTCCACTTCCTTTCCTCAGCCTGGTCCCTATATGGCAGCCATTTGGCTACTCCAGTCTCTCAGCCTTGTGGCCCTGGCTGCCTCTTGTTTGGCAGCTCCTCTCTTGCCCTCTGTCCTCTTGTGGTCTGGTATGGTCCACCGGCCATTTTCTTTTTCTTTCTTTCTTTTTTTTTTAAGACTTTATTTATTTATTATGTATACAACATTCTGCTTCCATGTATATCTGCACACCAGAAGAGGGCAGAAGATCTTATAACGGATGGTTGTGAGCCACCATGTGGTTGCTGGGAATTGAACTCAGGACTCTGGAAGAGCAGCCAGCACTCTTAATCTCTGTTTTGATAAAGCTGTCCTCTGCAGGTCTCTATTTTACTGGTTTGTCACAGTTCAGTTTCTTCGGGAGACAGCCACGCTCTAACTCATGGGCTTACAGAAAAAAAAAAAAAATTAAAAGTCCTCTGAGGTAAATGCTGTTGCTCTGCTATTCACAAAGGGAAGCAAATTCTACCTCAGCCACGCTGCTAACAGGCTCTGTGCTTCACCACACCTTGAGAAGTACCCCGAATCCTCGCATCGTTTCTTCAATGTGTGCTTGGAGATTGAGAACTATTAGCACACAGAAGAGCCTCAGCACCAGAACCAGATCTTTCCATAGCATTAACAGCCTACAAACCTCCCAGAGGGTTAAAAATCTCACCTCTCAAGTTCGTGTCTCACGTCCCCATGGAGAAATGTGCACAGCTTCATTCTATTTGCGTGGGGGATGAGTCAGAGCGAAAGGGAGCCATCCGAGCACAAGTGACTGAATTCTCATGCATGCAACTCAAGCACCCACAGAAGACGCAGTGAGTGAATGACTTTCTTGGGTAGCTCAAACTTACCAGATGTGTGCTTTCATCAATCTAGCTGCATAGATCTTACTGGCTTTAGCAATGAAGTAAGGTGAGCTGTCTGGGTGTTGTCCTTTTAGCATCTCCTGGAGCAGCCAGGAGCAAAGCCATGTCTGGCCAATAAACTTGTGTGTCAATGAAGGGGCTTCGGTTCTTCAAGTTCACAGCTGTCAGCTGTGAGGAATGCTGTGTAGTATTTTGCTCCAGGCAGAAATGTCTATGGGATCAAGATCAATGAGTCCCCAAGGGCTTGCACTTTTGTCGAAAAACAACTGCAAATTGCTTATATCCATAGCCCAGATTTCTTTTGACTCTGGCATTCACATGCCTTTGTGCATGCATTGGTCTGAAATGCCTATCACTTTGTCAGAACCTACACCAAAAACAGATGCCAAAACAAAGCAAAGGGTCAGAGGAAGAAAGCCCACACATGAGATGCAAGTGTGTTCATGCATAAATCTCCCTGACTTGTGAAAAGAGGCCTGGCTTAGATGAAACACCTACCTGTGAAGGGAACATTCACAAAAACATTTTGAAGGATCTGTAGGCGAATGCATTTGTGACATTTATGTGACCTAAGTAGATGGCAGTATCTCTCAAATGTGTAAATAACACACACCGCGCAAGAGAAAACACTAATCATTTTCAAAAATGATTAAAAGTGTAGGGCTGCTATGGTAGGCAGGCATGGTAGCACACGCTTTAAATCTCACAACCGAAGAGGCAAAGACGGTCAGATCTCTGTGAGTTTGTGGCTAACCTGGTCTACATAGTAAGTTTCCAGTCAGCCAGAGCTATATAGTGAGACCCAGTCTCAAAAAAATCCACAGAAAAAACAAAAAGGGTAGTCAGGGGCCAGCAAGACATCTGCCATATCCACTTCCCAGCCTAAGAACCTGAGTTTGAGTCCCCGTGAGAAGTGACTCCCACAAATTGGCTTCTGACTTCCATACAAATGTATTTTGACACTCACTCTGATGTACTCACACACACACACACCACATATACATACAAAAATAAATTTTAAAGTTGGTTTTTAAGAAGTTACATGAAGCACAACTGGGGGACGTTTCTGAACGACGAAGACAGATAAAGAATGCGGAGAAGCGAGTGAGACAAGGGCGCACAAGCCGTGAGTGGAGTGAGAGGTGGCCTGGAGCATTCCCTGTGGGGAAAATGCAAGTGAGCACTGGCATATGGAACAATGTTCAATCTCATTATCGATCTGGAAAAAAATGCAAATTTAATCTTCAAAAGAGAACATTTTGCACCCACCAGATTGGCATAGGTTTTGAAAATCTGATGAGACCAAGTACTGACAAAGGATAGAAATGTGGGAAGTATTGTTCACTGGCAGTGGCAGTATGAAATTGGTGTGGCCTGGGCCTACAGAGATGCCTCAGCAGCTGTGAGCTCCTACTCTTATCTTAGTATTCTATCACTGTGAGGAGACACCATGACCACAGCAACCTATAAGGGAAAACATTTAATTGGGATGGCTCACTTACAGTTTAGAGATTTAGTCGGTTGCCATCATGGCGGGACACCGCAGCACACAGATAGACATGGTGCTGGAGAAGGCGCTGAGAGTTCTCATCTGGATCAGCAGGCAGCCGGAAGAGAGACACTGGGCCTGGTTTGAGCATCTGAGACCTCAAAGCCCACCCCAGTGACACACTTCCTCCAACAAGGCCACCCACAATGACACACTTCCTCCAACAAGGCCACACCTCCTATCCTTTTTATGAGTGCCACTCCCTGGTGACTAAGCATTCAAATCTATGAGACTATGGGGGCTGATCTTATTTAAACTTCCACACTATTCTTGCAGAGGACCCAAATTGGGTTATCCCATCAGGCAGGTCACAACTGCCTGTAACTGCAGCTTCCGGGAATTTAATATTCTTTTCTTGCCTCCAAAAGCACCTGCACCCATGTGCAAGTACCTGTACACACACCACACACACTTAAAAGTAAATTAGTAAAATTTGTATGGTTATTCGGAAAGTTATTTTGATATTATCCAATAAATCTAAAGATGCATATCCCCTATACTTAGCAATCTCTTTCTAGAGAAATGCTTGCCCATATGCACCAGGTAACCCAAGCAAAATGATCATAGCCACACTATGATAGCATACATAGCACACACCATAGCAAAATGGAAATAACAAAAATGGCATCCAGAGAATAGATAAATAGCAAACAAAAGATCCCAAGGCAGCCAGATACTGTGGCTGTACTCCTAGCCCTCCAGAGACTGAGGCAGGGGGATTGAGTTCAAGGTCAGCATGAGCTGTGGTAAGTTCTAGATTGGTTTGGGCTAAACATCAACAGCTTGCCTCAGACAGAACAAACCTACCAACCAAACAAACAAACAAGCAAAAAGAGATTTGTCTTAGCCCCGAGTATTTAAGACTTTCCCGGGGACTCCCTTCACATGTGTAGTTTCTCAGAATTAGGTCATTTGACTCCATATTTATCATTGGTCCAAAAGTGTAACAATTTCTCAAACCTGTGACATGCATGACATACCTGTACAACTCATCAATGCAAAAGAGAAAGACGGCTTCTTCAAAATGGGACTTGCATCTCATGATTTAAATTATGGTACTCACATGTATCTTCCTGCGATTGGAAATGTGTTGAGATCATGTCCACTAATGTTTCCTAAAGGCTTCTGTGGTTTGAATGAGATGCACTCCCTACCGTCTCCATTTGAGTATTTGGTCTCTAGTTGGTAGAACTGCTTGTGTAGGTTTAGGAAGCGTGGCTTTGCTGGAGGAACTATGTCTGTAGAGGTAGACTTTGGAAGTTTAAAGACTCATGCCCCTGCTAGCTGGCTCTCTCTCTGCTTGCAGTTTCAGCTTCCTGCTCCAGCCACCATGTCTGCTGTTTGCTTCCCTACAATGCCACACTTGGAACTCTCTGGAACAATGCTCAAATAAACTTCCATAAGTTGCTTTTGGTCATAGTATTTTACCACAGTAATAGAAAAGTAACTGATAACAGCCCCGTGCATCCTGGTGACTAATGTACCCCCATACATCCTAACCCAGAGACTAGGATCCAGAGGGAGAGAACATTGGAGCCAAGAGCTGAGAGAGAGTAATGAGGTGCAGAACTAGGAAAAACTGGAGAAAAAAAGAGTCTGAGAAAATGTTCTCAAAGATAGACAATGAGAACTGCTGTATCCCTTGCAGTCCATGAGCTGGAAACTGGAACATAATAAGGCTGTGTTGTGATGGGTGGGGTAATAAGAGGTGTCACCCCAGGGATAAATTGATGTCAGTTCTCAGAAATGGGTTCTTTACAGAAAGACAGGCCTGGGTCCCCTCTTACATTCTTTATTACTCTCTATTGTTCCACCATGAAATGATGCACAAAGAACACCCTCAATGAATAGCCCCTTAATCTTGAACTTTGCAGCCTCCATATTTCTGTTCATTATAAACTAGCCAGTCTGTGGTGATTTGTTACAGCAATATAAATGGGATTAAGACATGCTGGTATAAACAACAATTACAGAAAATAAAATTAATATTCAAGAAATGAGTATGTTATATCTATATCGTATTTGTTTCTTTTCAATTACCCTGATAAAACGTCATGACCAAGGCAACTTATAAAAGAAAGCATTTCCTTTGGGCTTCAGAGGGTTAGAGTTCATGGTGGCAATTGGCATGGTAGCAAAAGCAGCCAAGAACTCATAACTAGAACCACAAGCAAGAAGCAGAGAGCACATTGGGAATGGCACTCTTCTTTCAACAAGGTCACACCTCTTAGTCCTTCCCAAACAATTCCACCAACTGGGGACTGAGTACTTGTGCATATGAATTTCCAGGGCCATTCTCATTCAAACCAACACATTTTTTTTTAAAGACTTTTCTTCCTGATGCATTACATTAGGGTTTTGAAATGAAATGTTGGTACTGTATTTTGTTATTTTATGTCTAATTCCAACACTGAAATTAGTTTGGAATTAATCTCACCTATTAAATCAAGAACCAGTGCCCCACATTGCATCATAGTGCACTCGAATGTTCTAGCTGATGGTCTCAAAGGCATTCACAATGCTGAAAAGAGAGGTAAACTCAGGGTCCTTACTAGGCCTTGCTCCAAAGTCACTCTCTGGTTTCTAACTGTGCTGAGGAAGTATGCTTAAATTGGTGGATTTGAAATCTCAGATAGCACAGAGCTGGGAGAAATTATTGTGACTCTCAGAACAGTTTAAACAGGACAGGAGCCCTCCGTCCCAGATACGATGGTCAGCTTGAAGACCTAGCACAATGGGTGAGTCATTCCATCAGGTTGGTTCTGTTGTATTGAAAACCTCAGCCAGCATCACACTGGTGTGCAAAATCCTTGACAAACATACCTCAAGGAAAAAGTGGGTATTTTGTCTCATAGTTTGAGGAGTTGGAGAGTTCTGAGGCAGCAGTTTAAGGCAGCTGGCTATATTGTAATCAGCTGGTTACATTGTATGCAGCTAGTTATATTGTATGCACAGTTGGGAAGTAGACAGAGATGAAGGGGCAGCTCAGCTTGCTTTTTATTTAATCTCTGACCTTCAACCATGAAATGGTATGGACCACACTTAAGATGGAATGATGGTTTCAGTAAGAATGCCCCCCATAAACACATATAATTGAAGACTTGGTCTTCAGTTGGTGGGACTGTTTTGGAAGGATAGGAGGTATATCGGTTATCACTGAGGGTGGGCTTTGAGGTTTCATGGCCCACACCATTTTCAGCTCTCTCTCTCTCTCTCTCTCTCTCTCTCCCTCCCTTCCTCCCTCCCTCCTCTCTCTCTCTCTCTCTGTCTCTCTCTCTCTCTCCCTCTCCCTCTCATTCTCTCTCTCTCCCTCCCTTTTCTCTGCCTCCTACTTGCACATAGAATGAAACTCTCAGCTACTATTCCAGCATGTGAATAGTATGTGACTGCTTGCCTGCTGCCATGCTCCCACCATGACAGTCATGGATTCTAACCCTCTGAAACTGTAAACCTCCAAGAAATTCTTCTATAATTTGCCTTGGTCATGATAGCAACAGAAAGGTAACTGAAACAAGTGGATCTCCCCATGTCAATTAACCCAATATAGAAACTCACTCACAGGCATGCCCAGAGCTTTATTTCACAGGTAATTCTAGATCCTGCCAGGTTGACAGTCAACCTGGACCATCCTAATGACCATGAAGAAGCAAGATGAGAACACACAGGATGGAAAATCTTGGGAGTCTTTCTGAGGATATAAGCACACATAAACAAAATGCATTAGTGGACCCCCTACCCCCAAGAACATCACCAATTGATATAAAGCAATCTACACTCTCTGAACCAGTGTTGGGGTGCTAAGAGTATTATCTAGTACTGCAGTTTCTTAAAAAAGGATTTTTTAAAATCGATCTTCCACACATAGATCTCTTACCTCCATGGAGTAAAATTTGTTTAACTGAAATCTGTTCCAGGGTCCTAAAGTGAAACAATCTGTCAAGAATGGAAGTCCCATCTAGATGGAGACATGCCCTTGTCTCCTTCCTTAAGGGATGGTCCAGAGAGGCAGGTCTGACTCACAAAGGCATAATGATTTCTTTTCTTTCTGATGCTGCCAGAGCAAAGGTGTACTTTTAAACTCCCCCAAGAACACTGTCTGGGTATCACTACCTGTCTGCAAGCTGCCTTATCCCAACAGTGTGGCTTGTGTTGTCTCTTCTTATTATCCCCTTCCTTCCTTGTAGCCAGGGATTCACAGCTTCACTGCCCCTGGAGGTGTCCTCCTGTTAAACCCTCAGAAATTGTCCCCAAGCTCCTGTTTGAGTCCAGTCTTTGTCCTTAAGCTTCCACTTGTGTCTGCTCTTACTTTTTATTTTAATTAATAAAACCAGGAACCCAAGAAGGATCCCTGATTTTCCAGGTGTCATGTGATGCCTTTGCTGGGACTTCCCAAGATTTACATCAATACTTCTTTCCTGACCTTTGGCTCTTTAATCAGCAGACAGAAGGGGCCTGTTCCTACACCCTAGACAGCAACCAACCCATGGGAAGTTCCATTCTAACTATCTCAGTTTCTTTTCTTGATTTTAACTTGGGGGTTTCCAAGTACGGAGATCTGTGAGCTTTCTTTCTATTTCCCCTCTCACTTTCACGACGTGGGCCAGAAGCACGGATGTTTTCTGCCTCTGAACCAGCGAGGAGAACGGAATCTGTGAGGAGTCAGCCATGACTGTTTCTGGGGAGGGAAAGGGTCATTTCTTGACTCAGTGTGTATGTGGTTATATGCCTTCAAAGAAACCTCTATACTTTCTTGAAGTGGAGAGATAATGGCAGACAGGTGTGAAGGTGACAATGATGCCCACAGCCCAGAGGAAAGGTGTGGATACAGAATTCCCAGCAGGACACCTACACTGGCCACCCTTGCTGAGCTGTGGACAGCAATGCAGACACACTTCTATGAGAATTCAGGTTAATTGCTGCTAAAATTATACTGAGGGTTTTTTTTTTCACTCTTTATTGTCATAATAAAAAATATAGGAAATTCGGCAATTAATTGCTTAATGAAGAAGACAAAATCAGGAAGCCCTAGAAAAGTGATTTTTTCTTATTTTGACAAGCTGTGCCCTGTTTAGAGTCAACATTTACAAAGGCC